AAATAACTTGACTAAGGTCATGTAGCTAGTAAATAGTGGAGCCCACATTAGAACGTAATACCAAAATGCATTGGATAAGTAAATTTTATTTATCCTCTTAGGAGGAGTTTGCCAAATTTGCCCTTGATTGCTTCCAGCCCTTGAAATCCTTTTCTTCTGTGCTTTTCCTTTGAATAAGTCAAATATATATCTTTGTGTTATGTGTGTGTACATTTATAGTACACGTGCGTATCCATACAGTTGTATATGCGTGTACTGTCTCAGTGAACACAAGAATCTGGTAACAGTAGTTGCCATTGAGGAAAGGGAAACTGAGTGAGAACAAAAGTGAGAGGCAGACTTTTCACCATACCTCTTAGTGTCTTTTGAATTGCATGCCATGTGCAAGCTATTGATTGTAAAGTGTTTAATGCTTTAAAATCGAAGAGATTCATTTAGGATTCATTCTATAGCAGCAAGACATGATTTGTTCTTTCAGAATCTGGCCTAACAGCATCTCAGAAGAAATGCTGATTCAGTTTTAAGTAGAAAATATGCATCTGATGCACACTTAATTCTATTTTGTAGGCCTCAGCCTCCTTAGTGCTTTCATCTTTTACAATATTTACTATATTTGCTTTTTCATCTATTATCTCTGTGTTCCTCACAGTGTCTGATACAATGTGTTGTACAAAATAGGAAGTCAACTGTTTTGAATTTAAAATTCCTACTAAGGGATAAATACATGAGAACTACCTGTTGTTTCCTCAGATTTAGGCGATAAAATAACTAAATTCAGAGAAATTCCATGAAACTTTTTCTCATGTCCTCAATTAGTAGTAGAGATTATCAGTTTAGAGTAGCTGGGACTAAAAACACAAAAATTAGCCGGGCATGGTGGTGTGTGCCTGTAATCCCAGTTACTCTGAAGGCTGAGGCAGGAGAATTGCTTGAACCCAGGAGGCAGTGGTTGCAAGTAAGCCAAGATCGTGCCACTGTGTTCTAGCCTGGGTGACAGAGCAGGACTCCATCTCAAAAGCAAACAAACAAAAAAACCTCTGTTTAATGTCTCTTAGTACTAATTTATGAACCCCATTTTTAATTGACGATTATAAAACACTTGTTATTTTTATTATATCCTAATTGATAATAGCTGAGGTTGTAAATTCTATTTTTTGTAGCTTTTATTATTTCAGTAGAAAAGATTGTTGAGGTTATTGTTTTGCTACAGTTTTTCATTTTAGGAAATAAGATCTGAAAGTAAAGTTGTTTGAAGCAGTTTTGTTTTGTTCTGTTTTTGAGACAGATTTTTGCTCTTGTTGCCCAGGCTGGAGTGCAATGGTGCAATCTCAGCTCACTGCAACCTCCGCCTCTCAGGTTCAAGCGATTCTCCTGCCTCAGCCCACCGAGTAGCTGGGAATACAGACATGCGCCAGCGTGCCCTGCTATTTTGTATTTTTAGTAGAGACGGGGTTTCTCCATGTTGGTCAGGCTGGTCTTGAACTCTCAACCTCAGGTGATCTGCCCGTCTCGGCCTCCCAAAGTGCTGGGATTATAGGTGTGAGCCACTGCGCCTGGCAGAACTTCTGATTTTTCTAATCAAAAATATTGAAATCATAAAACATCTTGCTTCTGACTCCTTGACACCAGAAAGTTTACTTTCCCAGTGGTATATGCCCTCAGGAACAGGGAATGCACATGGCAAGACCCGCAGGTGTTCACACAACAGGCCGTAACACTTACCTTGATGTCTGTTTTTGGGGTAGCCCTGGCCACCACCATGCCCTGCTAATTTTGTATTTTTAGTAAAGACAGGGTTTCTCCATCTTGGTGAGGCTGGTCTCGAACTCAGGTGATCCACCTGCCTCGGCCTCCCAAAGTGGTAGGATTACAGGCGTTAGCCACCACTCCCGGCCTGAAGAATATTTTTATGACCTATTTATTATTTTCCTATGTCAAGGAAATAAAACCTTCACAAACCACCTGTTAGCAGCATTAAAAACAAAACTGAGGGGCCTGGGCACATTGGCTTACACCTGTAATCCCAGCACTTTGGGAGGCCGAGGCGGGTGGATCACAAGGTCAAGAGATCGAGACCATCCTGGTCAACATGGTGAAACCCCGTTTCTACTAAAAATACAAAAAATTAGCTGGGCATGGTGGCGCGTGCCTGTAATCCCAGCTATTCAGGAAGCTGAGGCAGGAGAATTGCCTGAACCCAGGAGGTGGAGGTTGCGGTGAGCCAAGATCGCGTCATTGCACTCCAGCCTGGGTAACAAGAGCAAAACTCCGTCTCAAAATAATAATAATAATAATAATAATAATAATAATATGAAAATTGAAGTAGCCAGGCATAGAGATGCACCCTGTGGTCTCAGCTACCCAGGAGGCTGAACTGGGAGGATTGCTTGAACCTGGGAGGTCAAAGCAGCAGTGACCCATGACTGTGCCTCTGTACTCCAGCTGGGGCAACAGAGGGAGACCCTGTCCAAAAAAAAACCCCAAAAAAACAATTAGTTGGCAGACTAGCACTCTTTGTTAAAGAGTCGCAATAAAGAACATAAGAAATAAAGTTTAAGCCCATCCTTAACTTTTCTTCCACAAAGCGTGGGGCTGTGCAGGGATTTGGTTTTTCTCCTCCTGTTTACAGCCACCACCTCCTCAGAGGTCTTACAGTGTCCGTCATCTCCTTTCCTCCACTGGTTTCAACTTCTCCACCTCCACTGTCTTTCCCATCCTATAAATAGACTCCACCAAATCCCCTTCCTGGGTTCTGTTTCATCTTAGTCTGCCCCTTCATGCTTTCATCTTAGTCTGCCCCTTCTCTCTCTTAGGAGAGAAAAGTTATATATTCTCCAAAAAATTGAACTTCATTCAATTTTTTAAAACATTTTTTATTCTGAAATAATAGGTTGGTGCAAAGGTAATTGAGATTTTTGCTATTAAATGGCAGAAACTGCAATTATCTTTGTACCAACCTAATATACATACCAAAAAGTATGTAGAATACATGTTCAAAAGAATAAATTAGTCATGTAACACACATCCAGGTCAACTATCACCATGTTGAAGTAACAGAAAATCTCAGCTGTGCCAAAATCCTGTGTGCTGTTTCTCCTCACTGGAAGTAATCTGGCTTTAAAGAAAAAAAAAATTCCAGGTTAGGTTTCCTAATCCTGGCTTTTATGAATAATGATTTCTTTGCTCTTTTTATAGTTTTACCACCTTTGTATGCATCTCTTTACTGCTCGTCCTGCTGCCTTGTACTCTTTCTATAATATCTCAGAATTTTCACAACAAGGTTATCTGTGAGCAGTTGCCACTTTGAATGGATGTTTCTCAGTCCTAATTTCACTAGGCCTCTCTGCTATAGTTGACAATGTAGATCAGTTCATCCTTCTTGAAACACTCTCTAAGGTCTGTTACTATATTCTCCTATGTCTCTGCATCCTTTAACCTTTCCTTCTATGTCCATTTCACAGGCTCCTCTGCCTGCTCCTTAAACATTGATGTGTTCAGAGTTCCTTCCTCAGCCCACAGCTATTCATACTGTCCATGGTGATCCTGTCCACTCTGGTGATTTCAGCCTTCACTCTTATGCCAATTACTTTCAGATCTACTCTTCAGCTCAGACTCTTCAACTCTCTCTCTACACAGAAAGTGCCTCCTGAAGATCCCCACCTAGATACTCAATATTCAAGACAGTCTTCATCATTATTCCCTCTAAACTCGCTCCTCTTTCTTTTTCTGAATCAATCATTGGCACCACCACCTACTAGTTCACCCAAGTTCAAAATTTGGAGGCATCCTGATTTTTCCTTTCCCTCATTCCCCACATCTCCTTTTCAATGACCAGTTTTTTGTCTTGTCTTGTCTTTTTTTTTTTTTTGACATGGAGTCTTGCTCTGGCACCCAGGCTGGAGTGCAGTTGGCACAATCTCAGCTCGCTGCGGCCTCCATCTTCCAGGTTCAAGTGATTCTCCTGCCTCAGCCTCCCGAGTAGCTGGGACTACAGGCATACACCACCATGCCTGGCTAATTTTTGTATTTTTAGTAGAGACAGGGTTTTACCGTGCTGGCCGGGCTGGTCTCTAACTCCTGACTTTGTGATCCGCCCACCTCAGCCCCCTGAAGTGCTGGGATTACAGGTGTGAGCCACTACACCCGACCCAATTTTATTTCTTAATGCATTTCCCACATCGCTTCCTCTTTCCCCGTCTAGGTCCTCATCCCCTTCCTTGGCAGTTTCTAACAGCCACCTCATTAGTCTTTTTCACTGCATCTAACCTTCTTCTGCTCATATTTGCCCTCCTTGTAGCTACAAGCCAAAATGGTTTTTCCAAACTACAACTCTAACTATCCTAACTTTGACACTTAAAATTGGATAAAGCTCATGCTCCTTTACTTGACTACAAGGCCCTCCATTCTTGTGTCCTGCTTTCTCCAGCCTTGTCTTCCATTTCTATCTGGCTATGTATGTGATGTTTTGGCAGCACGTATGCTCTTTCTATGTCATTGTTCATGCTCTTCCCTCTGCCTAAGATTCTTCATTTGATTTACACCTAATTTTAGAGTAAATTTAAATGTTACACCTTCAGGAAAACTATCTGTGACCCCCTTTAACCCCATCTGCTGGTGGGGGAGTCCCCTCACCACTCCATTAATGCCTTGTATATACTACTGTCACTGTATTGACATTGTTTTGTAATTATGTATATGTCTGTCATATTCTACTGGCCCATTATACTGTATTGGACACCAAACACAGTACTTTGCACAATGCCGAATGGAATGAGGAGGGAGGAAGGAGAGGAAAGCACACATGGACATTAAAAGTAAAAGAATTGTTCTTACTTTGTTATATATTTTAATATATGGAATCATCTGAATACATGTCTCCATACTAAACTCTAAGAGACCGTACTTCTAAGGAATCCCTTACCTATAAAGCTCTTTTGGAAAGAATGAGGTTTTAATTTTCTTCTAACATCAACAAACCCTCACAAATATTCATGTTGCAGACCAAACCTGGACCACCCAAAAAGCCGAAGACCACTTCAAGACCATCAGCCTTAGCATATTGCTATCACTGCGCGCAGAAAGGCCATTATGGACACGTAAGTTTGAGTGGCATTCAGCTGTAAAGCATTCTATTGTCAGGGAGTGTTTTCTGAAAGATGAACTCAAAAAGAATGTAACTCTAAATGCTTACTTTTTAATAAACATTCTGAGGTAAGACTTAATATATTTCCAACTGATTTACCCCTTCCCTCCTTGCTAGGGTAACAAGCTATCAGAGCATATTCCTCTAATCATGTTACATGTACATGAACAGGTTGGGATAAAACTAATATCGTTCATAAAATCAATCAGTCAAATAATAATAGTTGACAGTATGATAGTGGTTCTCATGAGTTCTTATAAACACAATTGACACAGCCATAGTAGCATGACCTTTTCTTTTATTTTTTATTATTCTGTTTTTTAGACAGAGTCTTGCTCTGTCACCCAGACTAGAGTGCAGTGGTGTGATCTCAGCTTACTGCAACCTCCGCCTCCCGTATTCAAGTGATTCTCCTTCCTCAGCCTCCCAAGTAGCTGGGACTACAGGTACCAGCCACCATGCCCAGCTAATTTTTGTATTTTTAGTAGAGGCAGGGTTTTACCATATTGGTCAGGCTGGTCTTGCCCACCTACCCCACAAATGGCCAGATTCCCTGTCTAGCCAACATATTCCTTAACCCAACTGAAAAAGCCAAACTGTGTGTATTCTAGATGCTGGAGTGTCAAAGCAGAAGAAGCTTCTTGCTGAGAGGTGGGCTTGAGGCCACTAGACAGAGGCCACATTAAGTGTGAAACAGCACCAACTCATTTCAGAGAAAGGATGTAATAAGAATAGATAGGCTCAGAGCCCATACTTCTGGGAATCTTGAGGCAATGAAGGAAAGGTAGTGACACAGAAAGTACAAAATTATTAAAAAGGAATGTATTATTCCCAGTCTTCAGGTAGGCTTCTAATAGCCTAGAAACCAAGATAAACTAATAGTAAATCAAATCTGGTGTCAGGAGACAGAAAGTATTGGGAGTTCTCAGAATGAGAAGTATGAGCAGTAGGATGGGGGGGTGGATGATAGTGCAGGTTACCACTTGAATTCCAACTGTGACACATCACTGGTACAGATCTTGGGAGCTGGAACCCTACATTTTAGGGCAACGTGTGAAGAAAAGGGCTGAACAGAATCCATAAACAGATCAGGTTTATCTTCCATATTGGGGCAGCAGCAACTATGGGGGTGAGACATAGCTTATGAAAGCTAGGATGAGGCTCTGAGCCTCAGTTCTAATTTTTTCTCTGCTACTGACTCAACCATGTGACACAAACAACCCACATTTTTTCTTTGGTCTCATTTCTTAATCTCTAAAGCAGAGAAGTTGTACAGGAAATCTCTCAGCACTAAGTAGAGAAGACTTATTTTGAGACAGGGTCCAGACTGTAGTGGACACTGTTTCAGCTCACTGCAGCTTCAGCCTCCCAGGCTCAAATGTTCCTCCCACCTCAGCCTCTCAAGTAGCTGGGATTACAGGCACAAACCACCATGCCCAGCTAATTTTCTTTATTTTTTGTAGAGACAAGGTCTCATTAGGATGCCAACGCTGGTCTCAAACTTGTGGCCTCAAGCAATCCTCTCTCCTCAGCCTCCCAAAATGCTGAGATTACAGAAGTGAGCTACCGTGCCCAGCTGAGATTTCTTTTACAGAATTATCATCTCTAGATCTTTTACTGCTCTGTACCTTCCTCATCACTGAACGTTCAGATGTTGTCAACACCTTTTAGGGAACATACTCACGTAAACCTTCCATTATCATACAAATCACATAGATGTACAGTTTATGCTTGCTTGCCTCTTTACAGCAGAGGGGTATAATTTTAGCATTTATTTTTGTTCAATTAAAGAAAAACAATTATAGTTGGATGCTTACTAGTCACTTCTGTTAAGGCAGATACGAAATATATTAAAAGCATGTGGAATTGATCCCTAAAATCTAGATTTAGATAATTTTTAATTTACAATAAAGCAAATTTGGTAGCCTCATGACTGCCATAGATGAGGAACTCTGGATTATTTACACTAATGAAGAAGGTCATTGGTGTGGCTAATCCAGAATAATAGATAAATTATATAGGCAACTATCAATTGTCTGTGCTAATGGAGGAGACCAGCGATGTGGATAATCAAAATAAAATTTACATTTAGCTTTGAAAAACATTTGTAGTATTATATATCTCTGTATAGTCACATCAGTCTAGGCTATATAAGACCCAAATAGGGTACTAGGCAGGTGGTTAAAGATGTCTGTGGACCCCCTTCCTTTCAATGTCAGAAAACCAGCCTTACAGATACTACTGTTGAATGGATTCTTCATGTGGAAGACTAGATCTGAGGTGAATATGACATTGCCCTTCCCTAATTCCACTCACTCTCTAGTTGGGGAAGCAAGGATAACAGTAGTCACTGTACAAAGATTACTGTAAGAGGTGTGAAAAGGGGGAGCAGGGGTTGGGAGAGTTAAAGATTCTGCTGAAATGAGTAATGGTTGAGTGTATTAAGACCTCTAGTACCTTTGTATAATCATAATTTGCTCTTTTTGAGACGGAGTTTCACCCTTGTTACCCAGACTGGAGGGTAAAGGGGCAATCTTGTCTCAATGCAACCTTACCCCCCAGGTTCAAACTGTTCTCCCGCCTCAGCCTCCCTAGTAGCTGGGATTACAGGCATGTGCCGGCATGCTAGCTAATTTTTTTTTTTTTGTATTGTTAGTAGAGACAGGGTTTCACCATGTTAGCCAGGCTCGTCTCAAACTCCCGACCTCAGAAGATCCATCTGCCTTGGCTTCCCAAAGTGCTGAGATTATAGGCATGAGCCAGCACACCCAGCCAAAAGCGTTTCTTTATATTACCCTGTAAGTTTGCTAAATAACCTCCAGGAACCCCCCCACCCCCGCAAAAAAAATACCTAACAATCCGGATAGTCACAATGATAAATCTAAGGATAGCAGAAGGATCTAAATGATAAAAGATTAGAACCAAACCTATTGAAATAGAAAAATGAATAGCATCAACAAAACCAAAAGCTTATTATCTGAAAACACTTTTTTCAAAACAAAAGAAAAACTTCTGGAAAAACTACTAAAAGAAAAGTTACTAATAAACAATGAGTGGTAAGTGTAAGTAACTTAATATACTATGTAAATGTTTTTAAATTATAAGACAATACTTCATAAAGTTAAAAGTTAAATCTGAAAATGCAAATACCTCTAAAATATATATACAAATCAGCTGAAACATTGACATTGAAAAAGGTCAGGCGCTGTGGTTCACACTGTATTCTCAGCACTTGGGAGGCTGAGGTGGAAGGACTGCTTGAGGCTGCCAGTTTGAGACCAGCCTGGGCAACACAGTAAGACCTTGCCTCTATAAAAAGCAAATAAAAATCATAAAGTCTGAAAATTAAAACTTATATTATTGTTTATTGGAATATTCATTAGTAAGAGTATAAAAACACATGAGAATGGCTGACTTCAACTTGATGGTGGTAACTTCTGGAAAGTTAAAAGATGAGTCCAAAATGGATAGGACTTACACAGAGGACTTCAGTTATATCAGTAACACTTTATTCTTAGGGGAAAAACAGAAGGCAACTAAGGTAAAATGTTATGGTTTTATATGAGTGGTCACTGCAGGTTTTTAATTTTTTTTTTTTTTTTAGATGGAGTTTCTTTCGCTCTTGTTACCCAGGCTGGAGTGCAATGGCGCGATCTTGGCTCACCGCAACCTCCGCCTCCTGGGTTCAGGCAATTCTCGTGCCTCAGCCTCCTGAGTAGCTGGGATTACAGGCACGGGCTACCATGCCCAGCTAATTTTTTTTTTTTTATTTTTAGTAGAGACGGGGTTTCACCATGTTGAACAGGATGGTCTCGATCTCTTGACCATATGATCCACCCGCCTCGGCCTCCCAAAGTGCTGGGATTACAGGCTTGAGCCACCGCGCCCGGCCGGTTTTTAATTTTTATGCTTAAGTATACTTAGAATGATTCATAATTTTTTAACTTTACAAATTAAATACATAAATGTTTGGCTACTAGCTTGGTCAGATATCTTAGAAGTGTAAGTTCAGGCTTGATTAGATTTTATGTGGACTTTTCAACTTCTCTTTTAAATATATTCTAATTGCTTTTCATTACTTAGCTAAGAAACAGTGAACATACAAAAATAATTTTTAGGCAAGATGGCAGAGGCAGAAAGGGGAAAGTTCCAAAAGAAAAGATTTCAAACGTGCTGAATGGATATGTGTCACAGATCATGATAAACAAAAGCCTGCTATGCAGTGAGTGGTTCAGGCCAAAGGCTATGGATTTGGGAAGCACTACCTGTCGAGAGGCCAGAGTCATGAGAGTAGGAAGCTGTCCTGTGAAAAAAGGTAAGAGTAGGGATTTCAACTTGGATGGGGGAAGCAAGAAGAGAAACTTTCCTTTGGGGTATCTCTCAATTACCTGGGAACAATTTTAAGCTAGACATAACCTACCACCAACCTACCTCCCACCATAAGAATCACTACCCCTATAAGCAGTGAATATTGTGTTAAAATAAGCTTACAAACCATTTTTATCTAGAAAAAAAGAGCAAAGGGCTTAGAACTTATACCCACATTTTGGGGATTGGAAGAAGAGATAGAAAAGCACTTGATGTTAGAAGTGATGGACAAATAAAGGAGTAATACTAACATGAGGCCGACTAACATAAACCCTCTACCAGAGGCAAGGCTGTTACCTCAGAATGTGAAAGGAGTTAGACAGACAGGGCTGAAAAAAAATATGAAGGGTTTCATAGGTAATGAAGTAAGGGAAGAAAACTCAAGCTTGAAAGAATATCACAAGCACGGTGGGGTTTAGGGCTGGGTGACCATCCCAGCACCCAAGCAAGGACCATATCCTACAGCCACCACGTGAGGTACCAGTGATATGGGGCTCATCTCTAATTAACATGCTCCAGAATCTTGCAAAAAGGTTTTTGAACAGTGTGACCATGTGACGTAATTTTAAATACAATTTGTAGGAATGTCCAGAAAGAGAAGTGTATGATCCCTCTCCAGTATCTCCATTCATCTGCTACTATGATGACAAATATGAAATTCGGGAGAGAGAAAAGAGACTAAAACAAAAAATAAAAGGTATGTTGCTAGACTTCTTGTTAGATCACTTTTGTAGTAGTTTCTAAATTTCTTTGTACTGTCTTTGCCTGCTTTGGGGGTCATTGGTTAGCATACAAAGTATTTTTAATAATTACCAAAGAAACTGGAACTTCTTTGATCTCCAGAAACCAAGCACCCACTTCAGAAATAATCCCATGTTTTAATCTCTTCACAATAAACATTTTTTTACAATGATTATTTTAGAAAATGTCCAGAAAATACTACTATCCATCTATGTATGCAGATAGAAGAAAAATCCATTGAGATTTTTCTGTTTGACAGGTAATTTTTTTTTTTCCATGTGTATGTCTTCAGTATTTTTTTATGGAAAGAAAGGCTTTCCTGATAAGTTATTCCTGGAGCTTCCCTAAAGAAGTCATTTCTTCTTCTTCTTCTTCTTCTTTTTGAGACAGAGTCTCTCTCTGTCACCAGTCTGAAGTGCAGTGGCACGACCTCAGCTCACTGCAATCTCTGTGTCCTGGGTTCAAGCGATTCTCCTGCCTCAGCCTCCTGAGTAGCTGGGACTACAGGCACGCGCCACCACGCCCAGATAATTTTTGTATTTTTAGTAGAGGTGGAGTTTCACCATGTTGGCCAGGATGGTGTCGATGTCTTGACCTCATGATTCACCCACCTGGGCCTCCCAAAGTGCTGGAGCCACTGCGCCCAGCTGAAAAAATCATTTCTTATAGGCCACCACTGCAAGCAGAGCTCCAAGTTCACATCTACCTCTATGGTTTCTGTATTTACTGTTGCAAACATAGTTCTTTATCACCAAATTAATATCTTAACATTTGCTTATTTTCTCTACCCCTGTTCTTTCTTGTTACATACTTGAAGGTAGTTTTCCAAGTTATCTTTCTTGTTTTAAAAACAAAATAGTTCTGTATTTTTTAGTTTGTTCTATATCTTATTTTCTGACTCTTTTGGCCTTTTTTTTTTCTGGACTCTCAGTTCAGGACATTTCCAAAGTGAAGGTACTAATTCTGAGGAAAGGAGAGGAATTACTCTCCCAGCTCCTGCATATTCACATTTAATGTAAAATGTATGTCATGTCATCTACAGCTATTCCTGGATACTAGTTTCAGGAGCCTCCTCATTTACCAAAATCTGCACCTACTTATATCCCATAGTCAACTCTGCAGAACCCAAGTATTGGAAAAGGTAGCCGTTCGTATATACAAGTTTCTAATCTGTGGAATGCTGTATTTTGAATCCGCATTTGGTTAAAGAAATCCACACATAAATAGACCCATGCAGTTCAAACTCATTATGCAAGGGTCAACTGTATGGAGAAATTCTAGTAGTTGAAGATTGTGCTTAGGCAACCAAATTAGACAGGCATTAAAAAGAAATGCATGAAAATGTCATCTCTACGGGATTATGTGTGCTGTTTTTTATGTTCTTTATACTTTTCAGTTTTTTCCAAGTTTTCTATAATGAGTAGTTACAAATTTTAGAATTAGGCACAATTTGTTTTCCTTTTTAGCTAGTTGTATCGACATCTGTAGCATAAATCCTTTTTGAGGTGTTCACTATGACCCTGAAATTTTTATACTAAAAGTCTCATGCTAAAAGTTTTTATTGGCCACTTTTTAAATTTTTCAATATTCTGTTCACCTGCTAGTTTTCATTTCTCACTGTAACCTCACCTCCCACCTACCCATATCAGAATGACTACCATCGGACACTCGTATTGTGTCAAGTTCTGACAAAACACATTAGCTTTGTTACTAAAGCCTCTAAGATACTTGAACACACGTGCACTCACACTCCTCAAAGCCAGTGATCTCTACTCTGGAGGAATAATCTCTTGGGCAGTTTGGCATCATGTAAAAGTATGTGGTCCTTATCTTTATAGGGTAATTGAAATGTCATATGACACCATAAAAAGGCCATTTTATAAATCTTGCTTTGCCTTACTTTCAAAGGTAGTCTCTTTATCATTGGGGAAGCTTGTATTGGTCAGACATGACTTTTCTTCACAAAGCTAAGATGATTACTGTTTTTACTGGTCCTCATCTCCATTTTAACCTTGTTAAACTGTTGAAAAGAATAATTAGCTATCATTGGATTTCTGAATGTGTTTCATTTTTAGCAATCAGAAATGTAGAACTTCAACTGTTAAATTTAAGTGAGTAATGTCATATTGTTAACATAGGTAAATGTCTTGCTTCCCTGTCTGCCAAGTTATTTACACACTTAGGAAAGCTAAGCATGGACTGTCTAGCTGCTGAATATGCAAAAATACTTCTATATTTTTCAGTACTAAAGAAAAACAGGGATTTCCCAGAGCCATCCATGCTACCTTACATAGAAGGAGCAAATGAGAACCTCTACCATGATACAAGGAAGGGCTGTGCCTCAAGGAAAAGCAACAGGTGGCCTCAAGAAAATAAAGATACACAAAAAGAAATGAAGAACAAGAATAGAAACTGGGGGAAGCACAGGAAGGCTGACAGACATCGTGAAGTGAATGAAGATTATCCTAGGGGCCCCAAAACCTACTCTTCTCTTGGCAGTTTTAAAACCCAGAAATCTTCCAGGCCCTTTCACCGTTCATCACATTACCACACATCAAGAGAAGACAAGTATCCCAAGGAGGGCAAGAGGGGCAAGCAGAAGAAAAAGAAGTGTTTGGAAGATGATGACAATGATAATTTATTTCTTATTAAGCAGAGGAAAAAAAAGTCTTAAGCTTTGAGGCAGCCTCTGATGTGGCTTTCCATTGTTCATTTGGCCTGTGTGTCTATAACCTTTTGGCAATGTTTTTATTATCTTGGATTAAATAAAGTGAGTTTGGGTTTTGTTTTTTTAATTTCAGCCATCCCTAGAGTTGGTGACCATCCATGGAGATCTCAATTCTCTATGTCCAATGGGTTATTAGGTAAGAAAGTGGAAAGATAAACCTGGACTTCTCTCGTTCTAATATGTCATCTTTACTCAGAATCCTAGGGATAGGAAGAATTCATCTTTTCAAGAAAGCTTTTTAAAAATCCTTTGGAAAAAGAAAAAACCCATCAAAGGTAATTCATCCTCAACATGAGTATGAAATTAAATCCTTACAGGAAGAGAAATTAACACTAAGAAAAAGTCATCAATATTTTTCAACTTTTTTTTTTTACATTGGAAAGGACAATAACTATACATTTATATCCAGCTTTTCTTGCTGCTGAAGTTATCAGAATCTTCCTTTGGGCAAAATATCACAAGCTGACTATAAAATAAAACTGTCATTATTGAAGCCCTGAAGAGACAGGGAATTGGGCTTCAGCAAAATACAGGTAAAGAATCCATCCAGTATAAATGTCATAAGACAGAGTTCCTAAAACAGTGAAAGAGACATGAAAAATTTTAACCTAATCACAATGAAATCATTTTTTACCACTTTTACAGCAGTGTTTCAAGTGGACTGTCACTCAGATCTGTGGAGATGAATATTACTCAAAAAATGTTTTGTTCTCTTGCATTTTTTTAACTGCAAAGCTATACAGAAGTTTTTTTACTTATGGATATTTTGTACTTCTCATAGCCTAATGTCAGAATAAGAAAAATAAAATATCTGAAACAGAATAAATAAATATGTTTATTATGTAGAAAGAGAATGAGAGAGTTTGAGTAACAAAGGGCTTAGTTGTGTTTGGTTTGCTTGTTTGTTGTAGAGACAAGTTCTCACTGTATTGCCCGGGCTGGTCTCCTGAGCTCAAGTGATCCTCCTGCCTCACCCTCCCAAAATGCTGGGATTACAGGCGTGAGCCGTCACTCCCAGCCTCAGCATAGTTGTGCTGGGCAGGTGGATAAAGTTATAAAATCCCCATAGACTGGAGTCAAAAATGCCATTGTTGCCCAAGCTCAAGCTCTCTGCCAGAATAAAATGATAGGAAATCAGTTAAACAGGATAATTTTATAATGTCAGGTTTTTAAGCTTGTATTTTACTCTTTGGGAAGTAAAAGTTTCATAGAAGTTGAAAGCCTTGAGCTAATTGGCATTATTCTCTGGTAAGACTTGGGGCAAGCATGGTATAACAAGTGCTCCTTCTGATCCTAAGGCATCCTTTCAGGGCAGAAATGGGATTGCCATTCTTTAGGTTCTCTTATACATAGCAGATGTTTGGAGTAGGACAGAAAGGAAGCACTTTTTTTTTTTCTTTTTGTCTCTGTACATTATCTTATTTTTTTCCAAAACTTACAAGCATTTTGTTCTAGGGTGTAATTTACCCATTGGGTCCATGCATTTACATTCAGATAGGAAAGGACACAGGGCTATTTCACCTGTGGGCATGAAGATACAGAAGAACAGAAACATGGAGGAGCCTGTGCTTCATTTCCTTTTCATTTCCCTTGTCCCCCAGCTCTTACACCAAGTGTTGTTAAAGTGAGTCAGTCAGTCAGTTTATTAACATAGACTGTTCATACAAGAATGGGGAGTTCAAAGTATATGTAGATTCAATTAATCAAATAAGACTTTATATGGATAAATACAAGGGAAGAAAAGCAAATGTCCAAAACAGGTAGGATTGAGAAGATTCTAAACATCTTACCTCTGGCCACACTTTTGATTTCAAGCGGCAATGTTTCAAGCAGACTTCCAAGCATGAAACAGCTTGAGTGGCTCCTATCTTGGGTTCTACCTTGGTTTGTATAGCATTTTCAAAATACAGCAAGGAAACCAGTCTCCCTTTTTCTCCATGGAAAGTCTTGCTTTCATGGACCTTGATATTTGCAGTACTTATTAGTAGCTCTTTATTTTTCTGTTATATAAAGAGGTAATCGTAAGGGAAAAAATGTTAAAAACAAATCATACATGATTCTTTCAAAAATGTAAAGTTATTAGTGTCTATTTTTTCATACTATTTTCTATACCTACATATACATTGTTTTTGAACCTGTTTTTTCACTTATATTGAGAACAAATATATGTCTGTGTTTTTGCATAATATCCTATGATATAGCTGTGCCATGATTTAGTCAGTTTCCTGTTGAATATTTTGTTTCTAATTTTTATTATTTTTGAAAAACCATTCTAAATCATTTCTTCTCCATTTGTTCAATTGTGATAAAATGGAATTTAGGGTCAGAGAGCATGCATATATTTCATGAAAGTTTTAAAGCATGTTACCAAATCATATTCCCAAGTCAGATTCTTTCCTAATCATTTATACATCCCTGGCATTTTGTGAGTGTTCATCTCCCCATTCCCACAATCACATGGAATATTGCCATTCCCTTTTCTCTTTGCCTGATGGGCAGCAAAGAAACATTATTCATTAGGCTGCAGTGAAAAGATTGATATGGATATGTTTGCGTAAGGAGGGACAAGATTAGCAATATTGGGAAAATCTGTTTTTAAAAGACGTAGAAAGAAGCTTCTCATAGGAAACAACTGAAAATTCTTCTGCCAACAAAAAAAATTACATACAAAATAAGGGAGCCCTTCATTTATTTATAGCTGTCCTGTTCCCCTGATATTACCATGCTTTGCTTCCATGCAAAAGGAGGATGCTGCTGGCATCTAAAGAGTAAAAGCCAGAGATATTGCTAAATATCCTGCAGTGCACAAAGTAGCTTCCCACAATGAATCTAGCCCAAAATGTCAGTAGTGCTGAGGTTGAGAAACCCTAGTTGAAACCCCTAGGTTCACTAGGGAGGGAGTTCAGGCTGCCTTCCACATCTGACAGGATGTGCCCTTGTCTTACAAGGCTTTGCATTTCATCGTATTGCCAGTGTTTGAGAGATTGGCTGGACATGGCCATTCATGTGAAATAAGGAGCACTAGCTCCATGGCATGAAGGTGTGCAGTCTGGACCACTTTGTGAAGGACTAGGGCCACTGGAGACTCAGTCAGCTGAAGGAAATGAAGAGTTTAGGAATCATGGAAACAAACGCTAGAGTACCAGGCTATGGCGTGAGCCCTAGCAAGATAAATAAGGAATTGTGGTATGAGCAAAGGGAGTTAGCTAGTGAGAGGAAGAAAGAGTTGGAGGCTCATCTGGTGGGACATTTAAGTGGGTCAGATGTCATTAGGCTGTAGGAGCCCTCACCAGGATCCAAGTCCAACACAGGCCCTTAGGCCTTACAGTTGGACTTTCCATTTCAAAGAAGCACCAGTATTTTGGTGATTGATTTATTACACATGCCATGTAGTGAATAACAGCATGGAGCTGGTTGGTGCCTGATATGAGCCAAAGGCTTTTCCATTCGTTTAACATTTAAGTTACTTCTTTTTCTTTGAGGCAGAGCCTCACTCTGTCACCCAGGCTGGAGTTCAGTGGTGTGGTCTCAGCTCACTGCAACCTCTGCCTCCCAGTTCAAGCGAGTCTCCCACACCAGCCTCCCAAGTAGCTGGGACTACAAGTGCGTGCCATCACACGTTTTGTATTTTTAGGAGAGACAGGGTTTCACTCTGTTGGCCAGGCTGATCTCGAACTCCTGACCTCATGATCCACCTGCCTCAGCCTCCCAAAGTGCTGGGATTACAGGTGTGAGCCTCTGGGCCTGGCCCAAGTTATTTCTTAAAATGGTTTCCTGGGAAATGATTCCACAAAAACCCCGTAAAGGAGTGGGGAGGGAAGTGAGACAGGGAAAAGAGAAGGAAGCCAAGCTGGATGCTTATCAAGTCACATCCCATAAGGGGAACTTTCAGACTCACAGGGAACAGTAGAAAGAGTGTGGGCCACACCTCAAAGTTGCCCTGATGAGGGGCAATGGAGCCATAGTGTGTGTATTTTTTTAAATTAGTCTTTGTTTAAGCCAGGTAAATTGGGTTTGGGCAGCCCCCTGATAGAGGCATGGAGATATGAATGAACCACCAATGTCATTTGCTACAGCCATAGCACACACTGTGTGCCACCACACCCGGCTAATTTTTTGTATTTTTAGTAGAGACAGGGTTTCACCATGTTGGTCAGGCTGGTCTCGAATTCCTGGGCTCAAACAGTTTGCCTGCCTTGTTCTCACAAAGTGCTGGGATTACAGGCATAAGTCACTGCACTCTGACTAAAATCTTTTGGATCTGCAGTTGGTTGAATCCATGGATGTAGAACCCTAAGATACCAAAGACCAACTGTATGTTTTTTATCTTGTGGCGATCGTTTTGCAGGTGTATATGTATGTCAAAGTCTAGTTATTTTAATATTTTCTCACTGAATTGGGTCTATTCTTACCAAACTGCCTGAGGTAGGCTCAGTAGTCCATAGGCCATCTTCAGTTTTACTTCCTACTTTATACATATGGGTGAAGAAGACCTGATCATAAGGCAAGTATCCACTGTAGGGGTCTTGAGGGGAGAGGTCACCGACCTCTTAGGCCTGTGAATAGGATCTTTATCTAAGAGGCATGCTGGTGATAACTGTATGCACCAACATTCAGAAACTACTATCTACAGGCTGAAGTCTAACTTCAAAAATTCAAAGCCTTTCATGCTTCATCTTCTGCAGTTTTTTGTTTGTTTGTTTGTTTTTGAGACAGAGTTTTGCTGTTGTTACCCATGCTGGAGTGCAATGGCACAATCTCGGCTCACCGCAACCTCCGCCTCCTGGGTTCAAGCAATTCTTCTGCCTCAGCCTCCCTAGTAGCTGGGACTACAGGCACGCACCACCATGCCCAGCTAATTTTTGTATTTTTAGTAGAGACGGGGTTTCACCTTGTTGACCAGGATGGTCTCAATTTCTTGACCTCTTGATCCACCCGCCTCGGCCTCCTAAAGTGCTGGGGTTATAGGCGTGAGCCACCGTGCCTGGCCTATGCAGTTCCTCACTATTCTTTCTGCCCTAACCCCTTCACTCTTCCAGTCCCACTGGATGAATGAGTAGTTCCTGA